AGGTGTGTGTGTACTCTCTGGGCTGGGCTACAATGGGAAGAACGAAAAAGGGGAGCACCAATGGGATGCCTGCGCAAATGTGAGGGTGTGGCTATTTGAGACCACACCCCTCTTCACAGGCACCATCAATTCCTTCAACATCAACACAAATGCTTGGGTGGCCAGGTATGCACATGCTTTTATAAATGTGACATTTATTGCAATCAAGAGTCTTTCAAAATTGTATTTTTTTAATGTTTGTGTCAATTAATTTTCTCTCAGTTTCTCTTTTCTTTCCACCCCCTTCTTCGGTACAGGCACGTGTTTAAGAGGTTGAAGTTTTTGGGTAACAAGTTGTTATCTCAAATGTTCACATTGTTATTCCTGGCGATCTGGCACGGCTTGCACTCAGGGTACCTCATCTGCTTCTCCTTGGAGTTCATCATTGTCAATGTGGAGAAGCAGGTAACCATGGCAACATTGCTTTACCAGACATGAGGCTTGAAGTTGTTTAGACTCGAGATGACTAAAGTCTTTGAGTCACTTACTTTCATGCCAACTGAAGGCAGATCTGAAAGTTTACAGCTTTGAAGATACAGTGTTTCTGAGTTTAGTAACTCACTGAGAATGATTTGAAATAATAGACTTGCTCTTATGTAAGTGATGGAGCGAAACAAACTGCATTCTAGGATCCTTATAGATCAATAGTAAGGTTATCAAATATTAAAAGAATCTTGAACAGCTTCCACAGAGTATATATACACATACACAAACACACAATACTGTTCATAAGTGGGTTGGAAAGATTTTTAAAATCTCTTAAGAAGTCTCTTATGCTCACCACGGCTCCATTTATTTTGTCAAAGATACAGTAAAAACAATAATGTTGTGAAATATTATTACAATCTAAAATAACTTTTCTATTTTAATATGTGAAATATAATTAATTTCTTTGAAAAATAAGTTATCCAGCTTTGAAGCTGAATTTTCAGCACCATTACTCCAGTCTTCAGTGTCACACGATCCTTCAGAAATCCTTCTAATATGCTGATTTTCTGCTTAAGAAACATTTCTTACAATTTTGAAAACAGCTGTGCTGCTTAATATTACCGTGGAAACCATTATACATTTTTATTCAGGATTCTTTGAATAGAAACATATATTTGAAATGGAAATATTTTATAGAGTTATATACACGTCTTTACTGTCACTTTGCTGATAAATGTAATGCATTCTTTCTGAATAAAAGTGTTAACTTCTTAAAAAAAAAAAAATCAAACCAAACTTTTGAACAGCAGTGTGTATATAAAAAGGTGCAGTCATTGGCATGACCGATTGAGATACTAAACTGCATTTTCATATTTGGAAACAGATGGTGAGATTCAGCTGGCAATGACAGTATGGTACTTAAGAATGGCAGTTGCAGTTGTTGCAAGAAAAAATGACATTTAAATTAAAATCTTAATTTTGAACAGTCTGCTGTTTTATAATTTAACAAAATACTATGATTTTTTATTTTTTTTTATATATGTCCAAATACTTTTTGGGGCCACTGTAGCTTTCACTGTAAATCTTTTGTAAGATTTTTGTAAGGAATCGCTGAATGCAGATTTCTCTCTCATATGTTTATATCAGAAATCCTTCTAATATGCTGATTTTCTGCTTAAGAAACATTTCTTACAATTTTGAAAACAGCTGTGCTGCTTAATATTACCGTGGAAACCATTATACATTTTTATTCAGGATTCTTTGAATAGAAACATATATTTGAAATGGAAATATTTTATAGAGTTATATACACGTCTTTACTGTCACTTTGCTGATAAATGTAATGCATTTTTCTGAATAAAAGTGTTAACTTCTTAAAAAAAAAAAAATCAAACCAAACTTTTGAACAGCAGTGTGTATATAAAAAGGTGCAGTCATTGGCATGACCGATTGAGATACTAAACTGCATTTTCATATTTGGAAACAGATGGTGAGATTCAGCTGGCAATGACAGTATGGTACTTAAGAATGGCAGTTGCAGTTGTTGCAAGTAGTTGCTTGTAAAATACAATCTTACAGGTTGCAGACAGCTGTGAGTATGCAAGGAAGCATCTCACCCTTGTAGTCCTATTTTGAAAATGACAAATAGTGCTCACGTCAGAAAATGTGAGACATCAGTAGACATTATATGAAAGTCAATGGAATGTTTACAAATGACGGTTCCTGTCTGAGCCAAAACACATTGTTTTGATGAATGCTGATGGTACAGCTTGTTCATTAACCTTCTCAGGAGAAAAAGAAAACAAGTAGAAATGTAATATTGTTCAGGGAACTCTGGCTCTAGGCGAGATTGAAACATTGTGCATGTTTACGTGCGGTATGTGTCCACCGGTGCGGAGTGAGTGGAGCGAAGTGTTTTCACTTGATTTTTTATGGGAACTGCGTGACAGGCTCATACAGGGAATTTGACAAAGGAGCAAAGCAAGCAACATTTTTAACAGCATTTATTAATCTAGGTTAATGTTAATGGACCCTTTTCACAGACTGTGATGATAAGTTACATTTTACTTCTGTTATAAATGTACTATACAATCTATAATAAATAAATAATATACAATCTCTCAATATTTATTTATTTATTACATTTTTTTTTTAAGTCATAGAAATGCTACCGTGGATTTTTGCTATTGAGGCAAATGAGAACACAAAAAAATGTTTGTTTCAGTTTTGTTCACCACTACAGAAGTTTACCCAACAATGACGACTTTCGTTTCTGAGAACCCTGGAAATGTGAACCATTGTTAAATCATATTTATTCTTAATGCATAAGGTAATGTTAATTTATACAACTTGAATAGCATATTGAGCATTTCCTCTGCACCAGTGGACACGTGCCATTAGACAAAGGCTTTAGAAAGTAGATAAAAGTAATACAACTCTTTTGTAAATATTTTCGCAGGCTCAGTCACTGGTGCGGGACAGTCCTTTGCTGGCATCTATCGCTCAGAGTCATCTGTATCCATTTGTATATGTAGTACAGCAGTTAATTCACTGGCTATTTATGGGATACCCTCTGGTGCCATTCTGCCTCTTCACTTACGACAAGTGGCTCAAGGTGTGTACTTACTCCTCAGGGGTCCGTTAGTCATGAATCTGATGCTGGATGTGGGATGTCCATGATCCTTACCTCCTGTATCCATCCATATTGTAAAGTGTTGCAAGTGTCATTTACATTTTGAACGTTTTTGTTTTCCAGGTTTACTCCTCGATATATTTCTGTGGACACATATTTTTCTTCTTTGCCTTTCTTGTCCTGCCATACCTCCGCAAGGTGTTCGTGCCTCGAAAAAGAGGCAGTGAGAAAAAGGAGGATTAATTAAAATGGTAAATTTAGCAGCTGTCTTTTCTAAACTCTACTGTTTGTGCCACCTGTCTGTGAATGTGTCATACCTATTCTTTCCTGTGTTCTCGGCAGCAGTGGAATCTAAAGCTGCCTTCAGGTCATATTCAGCACTCTTATAAGCACCTTCACAACGTCTTTCAAACCTTGCAAGTATTATTGAATTTTGATCTTACCTGAAACATGATGTTTTGAGCAGAACCTAATGATAAATACAGTTAAGTTTGTAATTATGTTGTGTAGTTTGGTTAAAGTTAAGATAAAGGTAAATATCTAAAAGTGCGAGAAAATTGTGTACATGATGAACATCTTTCTTTAATTCCACTAGCACTAAAAAAAACTCCTGGTAGTGGCAAAGAGAGATGCAGTTACCGTGTTTTTTTTTTTTCATTCTGATGCAAATCACTTGAACCCACATCTTGATTACAGCTTTTGAACATGTATTTTCCCAGGAGGACTTATAAGCAGCATAATCATATTTTATTAGATCATGGCTGATGATTCAGTTAGGATCATTGTGTCCATAAGCCATTTAATTCCAGCAGGAAAATGTATCATCCCTCTGTCGCACAAAGCTTTTCACTGTCTCTGCCGCAGTGTTTCATTCATCCAGGTCTTTGTAGAATGTCTATTTATTTGTTTGCACCACATTTACTTTTAATTTGAGACTTTTTCCTGTCATCCAAGTGTTTTTTGAATAATCGACGAAGCAGATTCTTTAGCAATCTCTTACTGAAAGTGCTTTAGATGTGACTGTGTGAAGATGTAAAATTATCAGCCTTTTTTTCCCTCTTTTTCTTACACAGGTTTGTTTGCAGCTGTCTAGGTTTGACTGAAGTGAACTGTGACTTTTAAAGAGCACCTGAAGAGGACACATTTTAAGGCCTTTAGTAATATATTACTATTTACATCAAGCACTGATGTATGTGTACAAATGTTAGTCCGATGGAAAGTTTTTCTCATTCTTTGGGAGTTGTGGTGGACTATAATGAAAAAGGTTGAAAGCTGGAGAAATACAAGCTTTTCTAAGGTTCATTATTTGTTAAATAAGATTTACTGATGTTTGGTGACTCAAATAGTTATACTGTATCTGCTCATACCATTGCACTCATTACTCAGTAATGATCTCATTTCCTGTTTCCTGTCTCGTCAGAGAACTGGCTTTTGGCTGATGGAAACAAATGAGATGTGTTTTATTTTCCTTTGCTAGGAATATTTCAACCTCACTTACCCTTAAAAAGACAATGAAATGTGAAACAAACAAAAGAGTGAATGGTGACACAGCATCGCCTGTCATTGTAAATGAATGTTTTTCATTTTTATAAAGGTTTTTTTTTTCTTCTTCTTCTTCTTTCTTGTGATCAGACAACTTCTGATGGGGATTCTTCTTTTTTAGGAATGGGTTTTATGGTAACTAAATTTTTTATAGCATTTTCGACACTTTCCATCTATCTATCTATCCATCTGACCTTTTCCTGTTCACTCCATTTTCTCCAGCAAATCTTTTTGTCCAGTGTGTGAGCACAAGCAAAACAGAAACCACAGTAACATTAACACTACTAACCAGAATCATGAATATGATGGTAAATTTGTGTCAGTATTATTAAGAGCAGAGTATTTCAATTTTAACAAGTAATTTAGTGAGCAATCAACTAATCTGTGCACTCTAATGGCACTATTAAAAACTGCTGTGTAAAATCCTTAAAGTGTATTTCTCATCGCACATCAGGATCAACGTTTTTTCTTTGCGATCTGCTCTCAGTAATTCTTACGCATATTTGCCTTCATATCTGTTTTGTATGACATGACATATTGAAGATCCTTGGCACAAATATACATCACTCTTCAGTGAGGGCTAAAACCTGCACCCAGATTCAATCCAAGGGAGCAGAGGCTCACTGTAGCATCAGAGTTGTTTTATAATATTTATACATGTGGTTGCAAATATTATTGATGTAAAAATTGTTTTTGGGAAACAACTACTTCTGCCTTACTGCTACCAAATGTACAAAAAAAAAGTGAGTGTGAGAGAGAAAATTACTTTTAAATAAAGCCGTTTTTGTAATATTCATTAAAAATGCTGGATTTGAACAAAGTCTGCTCAAGTGTGTTCTGGTGTTTTTGACTTGTGGTGTCAGGGTTTTATATCTGTCTGCTGTGGGAGCCGATATGACGTCATCTTGCAGTCTGGGCCCTAGAGCTGAAGCACAGATTGTGTTAGTGAGGAGTTCAAGCGCATTCACAAATGACATTCATTATAATCTCCAAGTGGGAAATAAATGTGTGGGTTTGACGACGAGTAGGAGTATACACCAGCTTCCAGATGCTTCCCTCCAAGCCAGATGTATCACACAGACAGCCATCTCGCCGATTTAGGGATCGCTAATCCGAAAGAACAAATACTATGAGCACTGCTTAGCTCATTCATATTAAGCAGGTTATGTTAATATGGTAGCTCCTTGTAGCAACGATTTGGTTGTTGCATATTATGCATTCTTTATGCTATTACGCTACTGCCCTCCAATAGACACTGCCTGGCTAATGAATATTAATTAGGTACGGCCGAACCTTCCAATGGCGGAGGGTTGGTTAATGAATATTAACAAGCAAGCCTTCGCCGCAGTAGGATTTGTATATTTGCGTTTCACCGGGGATGAGTCCTGAGAGCGAGAGAGACGCAGTGTGGGCGGGTTAAGAAACTGCGAGAGGGAGGAGATACCACCCCGTCTCGTTTTTCTCTCTCACGGCATCCACCGAGAACGGGGACATTGGTTTCTTCGTATCTAATCTTCAAATTCCAGTTTCGCTCCTTTTCCCAGTTCGAATCATTTCGGGAGGCACCGGAGGCCCCAGCGCTCCACCCGTTGCGTTCGGTGTGTCGGCGGGCATCAGGCTGTCATAGGTGTGAGTGTGTGACGGATGCTTAGAGGAGACTGAGCGGGGTACCATCTCACACCTCACGGTAACGTACATTTGATCCCAACATAATATTTCTAATTAAATTCTTGCGCTTAACACAGGTGGTATGCTATCTAAACTGCTTGTAAATGTTATGATATGGTGATTTTGGAATCTATTTAACGTTACAGGCTTAAAAATCGATTCATGTTTGTCGCGTATTTAACACCGGTCATTTTAATAACGCGTTGTAAACACCAGTAGGTTATATCACGCTGTCCGTCATCCAAGTTGGAAGATTTTAATCTTCATATAAAAATACTAATGTAAGTAAATGACATATAGCCTTTATAAATCTTTCCAGATCAGATGTTATTCGAGGCCAAGCGTCATGAATCACGTTTGATATTCTGTGTGTTAACAAACCTGCCTGTGATATCCGAGAGGATACACCTGCATGCGCGTGCGAGCGAGGATGCGCGGACTGCACAATTTCACGCGGACTCAGTTCGCTGAATACGAAGGTTTTGTTGAGTGTTGAAGTAAGGTTTTATTGAGTGAGTAAATACGGGATATATAATAGCCGACATACTGTATCTTAAATGTGAGCCAGACGTCCTCGGCCATACTAGGCCACGAAAATGATGTCAAGGGTATTATATATAATATTCACATTTACCTATAGAGCGGAGTATTTGTCTTAATGTTTACGTTTAAGGAAATGCAGGCAAGGAAATATGTCTGTCTCTGTCTCTGCGCTTATCTGTTTCTCCTCTGTCCTCTATCTTAAACTGCTTCATATCAGGTTAATGCATGTTATTTCCCTCTGCCCTTCCCCTCCTTCCTCCCTCAGATGGCCAGAATGAGTTTTCTCTCCTTTCTCCTCTTTTGCTTGACTTCGGTTACCCATGGCAACAAAGGTCAGTCTCCTCCATCCTTTTGAATGTTGATATTGAGCATTGTGTTGATGATTAAGTGTGAATGAGTGTATTAACATCTCTGTTCGCAGCTCTGGCACATTCAGTTAATTTAAACCAGAAGCTCAATTCATTGTGCTGTTTGTTATGGGTGTTAATTATGAAATCAGTAATTAAATATATGCCTCCTGTATGAATGACAACAGCAGATTTTGTAGAGATCACAAAAGGTAGGCCACATCTCAAGGTGACATGGGAAGAGACAACATGATGAAGATATGTGAAAGGATTGAATCACACGCAGGAAGATAAGAACGAATAGATGAAAGCTAATGACAGACTAACTGGGTGGAGAGCAAAATTTGGCGAAGGACAGAAAGGATGCTGATATATATGCTGTAGGATATCTGTGAGAAAGAAAGGGGGAGTGAGAGGTCGACTCTTGTCCTTGAAGAAAAGGGTGAAAGCTTATCTATTCTCGTCTCTGCTATTTTTAGACACGTGGGAAACCGGAGATGCGATATTTCTTAATTTACGGATAACGTTTCTCCGTATGTGATCACAGACATGCATTGCTCTTTCTGTCTATCCTCTGTCACAGCTGTTGACAGAGTCGTTCAAAATGCTCTGGTAAGTGTGTGAAAGTGGCACGTGTGATAAATGGAGTGAGATGCACAGCGTTGTCTCTCACTCCGTAATCCTAGGAGTAATCCAGTGGTCTGGTGCTCAGATTAATGTTATATGGCTGAGTAAGGGATGAGAGGGAGGAACGCGGGCGTGGGTGGGTGGGAGAGAGAGGGATAGGTAGATAAATGGCAAAAAAAGACAAACTGACTTGAAATATGAGAAGAAGGTGGTCAGCATGTAGCCACACATTAAATAGATTGGTGCATTGAGTTAGTGGTCAGCACACTCTCTAGTATAATATCATATGACCAGAGTTTTAAGTAATTTTTATGAAGCAGGGCTCAGTAATAAAGTTGTTACGATTTTTACTTGCCTTTCCAACAGTTCTACTGGCACCACAGCAAAAGAATGATTGATTTTTATTTTTTAGCAATACATATTTGCTAGAAATATTTATATATTTTTTAAATATAAATTGTTCATTAAATTGATGTTTTTAACACTCATACTGATATTTAACATATAAATATAAAGTTCCATTCAAATGTATGAGGTCGGTAAGATTTTTAATGTGTAGGCTACGTGCTGAATAAAAGCTTCTTTTTTTTTACTGACCCCAAACTTTTGAACAAATTTTCTTGAAATGAAACAGCTTTAATGTACCGTAACTCCATAAATAAAACACACTGGAAAACACATGGCATACAAATCACAATATGATTGGTTTGCAGTTTCCAACACATACTTATGTTCTTAAGACTATCAGGAATAATTTTTTACAAATTTGACAAAGCCTCCTCTATGTTAGCCAGCTAGATAACATTATCTTAGTGACAAAGCAGCAGAATTTGCTGCAAAAATACATCACAGAAAACCAAATGTTTAAGTTGCAAGCATATAAATTGAATGTAAGTTAATGAATGTAACATTTTCAGTGGCAGTGCAGCACCAGCCAGAAAGACACTGGGCCAGTGGGCCAGCCTTATTGTTGAAGATTTATCATTTTTTTAGGGTGTTTAATGTAGGTTTGCATGGTTTGGTCTTTCTCCAAGCATTTTAAGAGAAGCTGTCTGTCTGTATTTGAGCGATAGGTGCAATATACCTCTCGGTGTGCGATCAGGCCAAACATCTCTACACCTAATTACTCTGCAAAGCAGTGAGGTGTGGCGTGCTGTGTGTGTGTTTATGTTTTGTGTGTCCATCACCCAGTTTTGGTCGATCCCCATATGGGTATGTTTGTAACTTAATGTGCAAGTGTTATGCATACGTACAGCTGGCCGAACCATTGCACCATCTGCCACTAACGTATTTTAGCATGATTTTTTTATCTGTTGCAAATTCCTTTGGCTTGGACTGCTTGTGTTCGTCTCTGAACCTCTGCTCACTCACCTTCATAACGGCGTGTTATAAATAGCCTTGTCAAAAAAAAAAGCTGTTTGTTCTGAATCACAGATTGTTCTTGTAGCTCTCACGCCTGTCCCTTGCTTTTGTGATTGTTCTTTCTCAGCCAATAAACACAAGCCATGGATCGAAACAGAGTACCAAGGGATCGTCATGGAAAACGACAACACTGTCCTCCTCAACCCACCTCTGTTCGCCCTGGATAAAGACGCACCGCTGCACTATGCGGGTAAAGATGCTGATAATGTCGCACCTTTACGTGTTGAGGTGCAGTCATATTAACCATTTCAATATCAGTCATTTCAATAGGAATACACTCAATTAGGAATTTCGTGTGAGGACTAAAGATTTCGCCAGATTTGTCATCAGGTTCAGGTGGTCATGCTAATTTGCTGCGTTGACCAACAGAAAGCTGCTTGGTTTGTTAAATAACAGTAAAATCCATTGAACGCATTGTACTCCTATCCCTCATACTCATAAAAAATTTAATTGGTTCTACCCTGATTAAGGTCTGTAGACAAATGATCTTATTTGTCTGCAAAATTTCTCTGAAATTGAGTTAATGTGACCACATATTTATAGTCATGCTATGGTGAATAAG